GAGAGAGAGAGAGAGAGAGAGAGAGAGAGAGAGAGAGAGAGAGAGAGAGAAAAAAAAAAAATATATATATATATATATATATATATATACGAATGTTAACGACAGCATGTAACATGTCATCCCATGACAACCCGTAATTGAAGTACTGGCTTAATACATCACAGCGTGACATTTTCCTTAATAAATAGAAGAGTTCTCGAAGATACGAAGGTGCGTATTGGGAGAGAGAGCTGTTTTTATTTATACTGTCCTAGCTTTCAGCTTATTTGCTTTCCCGCTTGTCTCTACCGAGGGTTTTTGTCCAAACCAGAGAGGGCCTTCCAAGCCAAAGGGATTGTTCTTCATAAAGAAAACGAAATAGCTGCCCTGTATTTTATACACGTGGGACAACCTGCTTTGCTTCGCTCGCCTCCAGTAAAACAAAGGCAAGAACGTGTCGCTGAGAGCCAAGTGCTGCGGAGCTTCCGACCCCCAAGCTTCCTGCCGCCTGGCACCACTGCTCCCCTCGCGGCCGGGGGGCGCCTCTCCTGCAGCCCTCGCCACTCAGAAGGGAAGAGATCAAGGAGCTGAATGCCTCTTCTCATTTCTTCCTATCACTTTTTTTCTTTCTTTAAACTATGATAGCAGTAATGCATCTGGAAGTTGGACTTCTAATAGCTTCCTGCCACAAACCAATTGACACAGAACAGAATAGCTTATTAAGGGACAGATTTCCCCCCCCTCCTCTTCAGGGAGCAAAGAATGAACATGTCATTTCCTGACCGGGATATTAAATAGTTTATTTAGAAGAAAGGAGTTGAAGAGAGCGATTAAGAGACACAAACTGGACTTTCGTTTTCTTTAATTTAGCACCCAGGGTTCAGGTCAGTCTGTGTGCACCGAATTGGATTGAAGTGAACGTTAATCATCAGATAGGTGGTTGGCTTGTTTACAAAGAAAAAGAAAAAAAAAGACCCTTGGCCAATTGTACCTTCCCTGAATCGTGACAAGAAGTTAAATGCTAACAGTGCGATGCCAAGATGTGTGTTTGAGGCAGAGAGTTTCATTCTGTCAGGATCTGCAACTATTTTTGAACAAAATGAAAAGTGGGGGAGGCGGAACCAACGGATGGGGTGGCCTCCGGGGCTACACCAGGGAGGGGAAGCGCCAGGGGGTCCCCCCAGGAGGCCCTCCACCCCGACCCCAGGGCCCGACGCCCACCCCACACCTCTGGCCCCCATGCTACATGTTCAGTCCGCTCCTTGAAGGTTTTCCTTCTTTGAACCGAGAAACCTGCGAGTGTCAGTGTCATTCTTGCCACCGAGCCAGGCGCCGCGTGGTGCCCGGAGGGACTGCCTTCCGCTGCCCTCTGCCGCTCCGGTGCCAGCTCAGTCTGCGCGGGCACGAGCTCAGTTAAAGAAAGGGTCCAAGTTCTCTTCCATGTTGACATCCGGCACCAGCTGATCAGACGCCTCCTTAGCACCATATCCTGAACTCGAGACGCTGAAATCCGTGGAAAACCAAGGATGGCCCAGAATCTCCTGCGAGGTCAGCCGCTCGGACGGCTCCCGCCGCAGGATGCTCCGGATGAGGCACTTGGCCTTGGGCGACAGGGTCTCTGGAATGTTGAACTGGCCGCGCCGGATCTTGCTGAAGAGGGAGCTGGGCTCAATGTCATGGAAAGGGTACCGCCCCACCAGCATGGTGTACAGCATCACCCCCAGGCTCCACACGTCGGCCGCTTTGCCGGAGTAGCTGCCACTGGTGTTCAAGATCTCCGGGCTCACGTACGCTGGGCAGCCGTGCTTGTCGGACAGGGAGTCGTCGTCCCCCCGCAGGATGTAGGCGTCTTCCAGGCTTTCCAGCTTGACCCGGGTCCTGCAAGGAAGGGAGCAGAACATTAGCTCCTGAGGGTGCCCTGAAACCTCAGACCCCATCCATACATCGCAGCTCCTGCTAGGTTCCCAGTGACTCCCATTCATTCATTCAGACATTACATACTGAGCACGTCCTAGGTGCCAGACACTCACTCTTCCGGGGCTGGGGACGCAAGAGTAAACAAGACTGACAAGGACTTTGCATGAAGCTTACAATCTGTTAGGGGACTCAACCCTTCAGCAAGGAAACAAACCATAAATAACGTTATTGCCCTGGCTAACTGCTGAAGGAACAAGAGATTAAGTAATTTTCTCAATGTCACATCTGAGTAGGGGTTGGGATTCATGAGATCTGAACTCAGATCCAACCAACGGGGAAGCTGACAGATGCTCTGTCCACCACATCTGGCAAACTCCTGGCATACGTGACATATCAGTCTGCAAGGACCTTTCACATCACTCAATTGCATTTTGGCCTCACAGCAATGCTTTTGTTAGACATGGAGGATTTTACGATCCTATTTCACGGACAAGAACATTGAGGCTCAGAGTTTAAGTAACGTGCTCAAAGCCTTTTAGCTGGGAAACAGAGAAGACTTGGCCTCACATCTTCCTAAGTCAACCGTGTGCACATGTGTGTGTGTGTATGATTGTGTGCATGGGTGTGTGTGTGCATAACATGAGCCCAAGATCCTTCTCAAACTTGACACCCTGTCCCCAATCTTCGCCCTGCCATTCGAAGACCACAGTGCTGGCCGACGAGAATGTAGGACACTCCTGGGTGCACTGGGTAAGAACAGAGGTGAAGAAATCTCATTAAACTCTGAGTCCCTGGAACCTAGGTCTTTATACAGTGGGTCCTGATATCATCATTGGGTATAAAATAAGTGCTCAGTAAATACTTTTGGAAATGAGTTGGATTCTTATCAACTATCCCTAATTTCCAGTGAATGGAGCTGAGGACCAGGACTTGAAGTGATTGGTTCAAGACTGAGGGCTGTCCCCCACCCAGCACCCTAAGCTGCTAGCCCAGCATTCTCTGGTTAGCCCAGGGGCCTACTGAGAATTCCTGTTCCCCCATCTTGCCATTCTTTAAGGGGAAAATTAACAATGACTACTTTTCAGTGCTTAAAACTGAAATCCTCCTCCTACTCTCTCGGCCAGAACACAGCCACCACCTCGGATTTCCAGTGGTTCTCAGGCCCCATAAACTCAGTCAATCCCATCCCATCACACTGCTTAAGGCCAAGGAGGTGACATAAGACAGGGAGGAGGGACCGGAGCTAGGGGTTAGAACCTCATAAATAGCACCAACTAGGTCCTGCAAGGTCCACATCAGTCACATCAGTTGGTTCCTTCATCTCAAAAGGGGACTTCAAAGCATCTTCCCTGTTGCCCCAAGTGTCACAAGGCTCAACTGAGCAGAGATCAGAAAAGTGCTTGGAAAAACCACAATCAAGCTTTAGTCCTAAGTCAGAGCTGGTGACTCAGGTCCATCACTGCTATCTCTCTCCCTTTCTCCTCCTGTGGCTCAGAGCCTTTTAGGGCGATCACCACAGCCGCTCAGACAGCCCCAGAAGGGAGGCGAGGCCCAAATTCATCCAGGGAGAGCTGCTGTTGCTGGGAGCTCTCTGCAGGAAAGGTCTGATAAGATCTCATATCTGGACGACAGGAGTTTCAAAGACCAAGGAGTGACAGCTTCCTGGACTTATTTTCATCAGTGGTGTGGTCAATGGGAAAGGCGCTGGGTTGGAGCTGGGAGAGCGGACGGAGGTCGGTCATCTCCCACCTGCTGTGTGGTTGTGGAGGACTTGCTCAACCTGTCTGTTTCTCAGCCTTAAAGAGAAGTGTCAAACAAGGTAATCTCTTTGCTTTTCATTTTGTATTGTGGTAAAATAAACAGAAGATAAATTTTCCCATTTTAATCATTTTTAAGTGTACAGTGGGCGCATTAGCACTGACTACATTCTCATGGTTGTGCACCTATCTGGACAAGACAGTCTTAAAGCCTCCGTTGGCTGAACATCCTGGGACCCTGGGACAGAGAGCAGCTGCCTTTTATACTTGCTCACCACGCTCTATCGTAATCTGTGGTCCACACGCCCTCCTCGCCGACAGCTAATGGTGTGTAAGAACTGGAAGGGTCCAGACGTGCTCATCTGGAGCTGCGCGCACGAAACACAGGCCCCCCCTGCCTCTCGCCTTTTCTCATCTAAGGACGCAGGTGGCGCTGACCCACAGCAGCCTCACTACCTGTCCCGAGATTGGAGGTGAGTCAGTGAAACCCAAGGGGTGGAGGGGAGGGAAGTGCAAACCACAGGCCCACGTGGGTTCTCTCCACAGCTTCCTCCGCCCACTCTCTCCCTCAAACTCTCCTGCCGAGTTTCAGGAGGGAGCCGGGCTCCTCCAAGTTCACTGTCCTGGCAGCAGCGTAGCTATGGGAATGAGCATCGCAGTGGCAATAACAGTCATCGTCATAATAGTAAGACTACGCATCTGTGTGACGAGGGACAGTCCAGCGGAAGGGGCACTAAAGCGGATTCAGAGGNTTTATACTTGCTCACCACGCTCTATCGTAATCTGTGGTCCACACGCCCTCCTCGCCGACAGCTAATGGTGTGTAAGAACTGGAAGGGTCCAGACGTGCTCATCTGGAGCTGCGCGCACGAAACACAGGCCCCCCCTGCCTCTCGCCTTTTCTCATCTAAGGACGCAGGTGGCGCTGACCCACAGCAGCCTCACTACCTGTCCCGAGATTGGAGGTGAGTCAGTGAAACCCAAGGGGTGGAGGGGAGGGAAGTGCAAACCACAGGCCCACGTGGGTTCTCTCCACAGCTTCCTCCGCCCACTCTCTCCCTCAAACTCTCCTGCCGAGTTTCAGGAGGGAGCCGGGCTCCTCCAAGTTCACTGTCCTGGCAGCAGCGTAGCTATGGGAATGAGCATCGCAGTGGCAATAACAGTCATCGTCATAATAGTAAGACTACGCATCTGTGTGACGAGGGACAGTCCAGCGGAAGGGGCACTAAGGCGGAATCAGAGGATATCTGGGGCTGGGTTCCTCGGCCAAAACCCGCCCAGGCGGGGCCACATCTTCGCTGGGGNAGCGGATTCAGAGGGTCAAGTCTGGGGCTGGGTTCCTCGGCCAAAACCCGCCCAGGCGGGGCCACATCTTCGCTGGGGCTGCAGGGTGACCCGCAGGCATCCCAGCCTCACCCGCTCTCTCCATCCCAGCCTCCTCACGGTTCCTCAAATGCGCCGACTGACCTGGGTCCCTCCCGGGGCCTTTGCACACACTCCGGGGCCCCCACCCCAATGCTCCTCCCCGGACAGGTGTGCAGCTCACTCCCACTCACTTTTTTTCAAGTCTCCGCTCAAAGGAACTGTATTAAAGAGGCCTGCCCGACCATCCTATACAAAGGAGCCCCCACCCCGCTGCTCCCCAACACTCTCGTCACCCCCGGACACTATGCATTTATTTTTCTATACTTATGCACGTTTGCTCTGTGCGTTACTCCGGTGGTCAGCTTGGGGCAGTCACCTCATGCGTCCCCTGCAGGAGCCAGTGGACAGGTGGCTGAGGTCTCCGTGTCCGTAGAGAACACCCCATGTTCGCTGCCATACCTCCAGCACCTAAACTAATACCTGGCGCACGGCAGACACTCGATCCAAGGGTGAAAGGGACAGTCACACAGTCAAGCCCTCGGAGCTTCAGGGTGCTGAGCTTTAAAGAAACGAGGGCCAGCTCTGCCTAATCTGCCTATTAGGGGGAGGTCAAGTGAGGGATCCAGGGAAGACAGGTGCTGTAAACTACACCTCAGTCACCTTCCAGTGAGGGTGGAGGGAGATGCGACTCAGCCCTTTCAGGGGACAGACTTCGGCACCAAAAGCTCTCTATGCTGAGCCAGATCTAAAGCCCTGTCACTCTTAGCCCCGTCCAGGGCACAACCCTGGCCTCTCTCCTTACCCTGTTCCTCTCCTTTCTCCCCCACCTCCAGCAGCGGTGACCACACCTGCCTCCTAAACGCTCCTCTGGAATCTTCTCCAGATCCTAGGAATTGGCTCCCTCCTATCAATGAACCCCCTCCCTGGAGCTCACCTCTCTCCTCCCCCACCTGGAGACCAGACTCAGCAGCTATGCAAATAAATACCTAAGGAATTTGAGAGTGAAATGAAGACGCCCCAAGGGCTGTGGCCAGCTGCCCTGGAGCTCACCCATCCGCAGCCTCCTTCTCCCCCCTTCCTAGGTGGGGCTTTCAGTCCCCACCTGCCTGGCACATCCTGTGGGGTGTGCGCTGCAGCGAGGCGGCCACAGAGCCAGGCCCGCTCAGCTTGAGAATTACCAAGCACCAGAGGCCATGCATCACCTCTGGACCTGAAGGTGTGCTAGGTACCGACATCTATTTTCTCTTCAGAGTTCATAAAGTCAACTTCCAAAGCAGAAATGATCTTTCCTTCCTGTGGGCCCTGTGCCTGACGCTCAGAGGGGGTGGGTAAGCTTGTCAGGCTAGTGAGGCCAGTTGGGAGCTGAGTGCTCAGCTCTCTCCAGGCTGTGAGCACCTGAGGGAGATCACACCCAAGGGGGTTCAGCCAAGGAGGCTCCACGAAAGCAGGGAGCACAGGTGCCCAGGGTCAGGGCCAGTGGCCTCTGGGGCAGGGCTCTGCTCCTTCAATGGAGGGAGGAGCGCATGCATCCCGGGCAGGGGTGGGGAGAAGGGAAGGAGAAGCCTGGAGGACACCGAGGAAACGGCATCGCAGGCGTCCTGACCTTGCCTGCCTCTGGGAACATCCTGCACTTGTTTACATCACTCCCAGGCAAGGGTCGAGGCAGGCGGCCTGGGTGACGTCTTTAAACAAGGACCTTCCAGGGCGCCGCAGGCCAGGGACCTGAGGCCGGGCTGCGGATCCGGTCCAGTCCCCAGGGGCCTGTTACGCAAGGAAGGTCTCTGGGGCTCGACTCCCCCTCTAGAAGTGGGGTCACTGCCCTCTCCTCTACTCAGTGGG